GGCACCAGAGTCAAATCTAGTTCCGCTCGCCTGCTGCCGTCCTGCTGGTGCGCCTTGCTGCGAGGGCTGCTGGACCAGGCTCCTGCCGAGTGTTACCCACGTGCTGCTCCTGTGGGGCAGCGGCCGGGCAGCCTCGTGCGACCGTGTGCAGGGCGTCTCCCTCCGTGCACATAAAAGCACAGGCGGGCGGGGAGACAGGGAAAAGGCACGTGCAAGAGTTTGGGGAAGCAGCCAGGCTGGGGGCAGGCGCTGGCAGGACTCTCCTATTTTGAGAGAACTGATTAGTCGATAAGGTGAAACAAAATACTCGACAGTCCATATTCTTTCCAGAGATGTCCTTAAGTACACCTTGGTAAAGCATGACATTGATACTGACACCTGGGGGGAGGAATCCGGTAATCTGCAGGACCACCATCAAGAACAGTGCCCGACACTTTGAGATCAAGTGGTTTCCATGAAGAAGATTAGAGAGCCCGAGGTAAGGAGTGTGCCTGGGCCTGCACCGGCACTGCTGGTGTCTTCAATGGAGATAAAGACCTCATGTGCAGCCACTGCTAGAGAGTGTTCCTTGCCAGAATTAGCCTAAATTCTCATCTTCGCACTCATCAGTTATGTGTCCAAGGGGAAATCTTACTTGATTAGAGGAATCCCAGAGAGAGACATGTACACATACTGAAACAAAACAGTTATTCCTTTCCCTAGATTACATGTTTTAGAGCAGCAGTGGGCAATAACCTGTCTGTGGGCCTATGATGTATAGGAGGAGTGCTGGCGAGCACCCCGTGACTAAGGGGTTAAACTCAGGTGGCTATCAAGGGTGTTGGCAGGGGGCCAAATGATCCAATGGGGATACAGTGCTGATATCTGCATTGGATATAGATATCTGGTCTGCTCTTCCTTTGTGGGGATTCTAAATAAGGGCTAGAGAGAGTAGATGCAGAGACCAGAATTACCATTCCTATAAGAAATATTGAATATGGGAGTAAACTGAACCCGGAAATACGGATCAGCATAGATCACAAGTAGAGGAAAAAGTGCATCTAGTCATGATCGGGGTATTTTTTATTTACTTTGGTTGGTTGTTCTGAACTTCTCTGTGGGTATGTCTACACTTGCCCCCTAGTTCGAGCTAGGGATGCAAATGTTGCTGACCGAAATTGCTAATGAAGCAAGGATTTAAATATCCTTCATTAGCATGATCTCGCCGGCACATTACTCCACTCAACAGCTGATTCGAATCAGGAAGCGCACTCCTGGACACGTTAGTTCGAACCAAGGGGTTTGGTTCAAACTAACGTGTCTAAGAGTATATTTTCCAAACCTGAAA